AGTTCCCGGGAGGCTCAAGTCGTTCTAAAAAGGCTTACATGCCTCCCGAGGCATCTATGGCTGCGCCAGGGTATACGATTATACCAAAGAAGGGAACTAAAGTTAGAATTGTGGTAAGTGCTTGCACGATCCAGGAGATCGGGCCCGGTTTCGGATATAGAAACATACTGACAATCCTAAATGTTCGTGGTCTCACTAGATGTAATCTACGAATAGACTATGGGAGATCGGACGCTGGGAGTCCGAAAACTGTTATAGATATGGGAAGTATCGCGGGAGTGGGAATTTCGCACACCCGCTCCTGCCTACTAATAGACTAGACTACTAGCGTTCTGGATTATGTTGCGGACGCTTTAGATTATGGATTCGGACTGTATGCGTCTTTCACCTCTGTGTTCTAGCTCACGTCTGAATTGTTGTTTCCCCTCCGTCACGGCCCATAAATGACTCTTCAAATTTGTCAAGACAGCAGAGCTGGTGAGTACCTCGATGTTCGTGCACCCCTCCCCCATGGTATATGCATTGATGGCGTATGTATCTTGTCCCTCGAGCCGCTCTCTACGGTTTCAGCCTCCCCCCTCCCCCTTGAATGATAGTACTTACCGTAGTGCGAAAGAGTCCACCCAAAGCTGACCAAGACGGCCAGAACATCGTTACCAGCGAGAGCTGGTAGGAGTTTCCCACCATCCCTTCAATAATCGGCAATTTCGTGACAGGATCAGTGATTGTAAGTCAACTGAATAAGTGGCGTCCCAGCCGGGCTCCCACTGTCGACCAGAGAGTGCACACACGAGTCGGCACGACTTCTCAAAAGTCGTGAATATTCACCATATGTGGTGTTTCGAGTTGGGCTTGCACCATGAGCTAAGCTTGTATTATTTGTCAAAGGCAAAAAATACGATCAAGAAGTCTCGTTCTATCAATGCTCCCTGCAAGGCTCGAACTTGCGACCTCAGGATTATTGTCACGAATGCAACATCATACCGGAGTATGAGACCTGCGCTCTAGCCAACTGAGCCAAGGAAGCGATAGCGGGTATTAATTTAGCATGGTATCGTAGTATCCTCGACTGAAGCGGAAATCATGGTTCCATCTGAAGTCTAGTTTACATTCCTAACGAAGCCAGCTCGTTTCCTTCTTCTACAAGTGTGTAGGTATATGAATCGTTTCACTACCATCTTTGATTTTACATTTGCGGCGCAGACTAAAATCCACTAGCGGGCTAATCACCAATATGCGAAGTCCTAAACATCGGTCAGGAGGGAGCCTAAGTAGTATCGAGCCGAACAACGTACACCGTTCCACAGGTAATCTCACCCTCAGATCAACCACATCTTTTTTCTCGTATAACCTCCCCCACGCAACGTCTATGAACCAAGGATGATTCTGGACATCTGCGATCCCGATTTTGCGTATCTTCCGTGGCCTGAAGATTGAACCAGTTCGGATGCGCCGACAACCTAGACGGTGAAGCGGATCACGCTCAAGAAACTGGAGGCCGCGATGTGGGTGGCACTGTCAGATTACACCAGAGCGAACATTTCGGAGAAGTAAAACTCACACAAGCAATCGCATCAATACCCTCATCACTACACCACTTTTCCGCGTCTTCAGGGAATTCCAGCTCATCAGCAAGAATCGCCCGTTCGGTCTCTCTCGCCCTCTCTTGGTCGTCTGTCGATGTCCACCGACTGGTGCTGCTGCACGAGGAAGGGGAAGAAATGGAAGAAGGAGAGGACAGCCCGGTACTGCATCCACCGTGGCCGAAACCCGCCTTGGTAGCGTCGTCACTCTCTGGACCAAACGGTAGTTCGCGAAACATTAACTCGTATGCTGTAACCCCGAGACTCCACCAGTCGACCTCCCAACTGTAGCCTTTCCGCTCTAAGATTTCGGGGGCCATGTAAGGGAGGGTACCGGTGATGGAGGTTAGTTGTAATCTGCGGGTGAACATACAGGCCTTGGTGACAAGGAGATTGTCGGAGGAGTCGGAGGGAGGATAGGGTTGGGCTTTTTTCTTGGTGCGCTCGTAGTGAGTGGCGATGTGAAAGTCAGAGAGGTGTGCGTGGCCGAGAGGGTCTAGAAGGATGTGGGAGGGTTTTACGTCGCTGTTAGAAAGTTAATTGTGATAAGGTTTGGTTGGAGTCAAAGTGCCGACTGACCGATGCACGATTTTCAGCTCGACGTGAAGGTACGACAAAGCTAAGGCGACTTCTGCGATCCATATCTTTTTGACATGTTCTGGGATGGACGAATGCGACTGTAAGATAGCTGCCATCGAAAACTGCCATCAATACGGAGGCACTTAAGCGGAAGTTTGCGAACTCACAAGACAGGTCCCCTCCTTCCACTAAATCCAGTACAAAGTAGCAATAGTCTTTGTCTTGGAATGCCGACCGGAGGTTGACAATGAACGGGTGATCGATCTGTGCATTCAGGAACAGGGCACAGGCACAAGATATCAGCTACTGATAGGACAATGGACAGTATAGTTTCACAAAAGCAGGCGTACCTCGCTCAATAATACCCTCTCCCTGACAAGGCTCTCAATTGCTCTTTTCCGTGCGTAGTGTCCTTTGTTCATGTACTTGAGCGCAAAAAGGTCGCCCGTTAGTTTGTGCTCGACTTTTCTGATCTGCGTAGAAAAAGACTAAGAAGGGTTCCGATGCAGTAGAATTCACGAAGGTCTGTGGGGGAAAAACACTCACCATATCACAATGACGGCCCATTGAGACGGGGGACATGAGGTGGAAGTCGTTGAGAACTGGTTGGGCTTGACGAGATCGTCTATCCCGTAGAGGTTCAGAGAATTTGGATCCCATTGTGACCGACGGATATGGCCTATCACGGCCTAGCCATGCATAAGTTAGCTTAAAAGAAAGAAACAATTTCGGAGGGGGATCTCGTTCGAAAAGCACGCGAAATGATAGGACGGGGGTTTCTTATATGAATCGTGCCGTCAAAGAAGTTCATCATGACTCTCAGCGCTCCCTGAGAACCCATCGCTCCGCCTTCCATCGTGATATCTATGTATAACATATGTTATTATGTTCCGTGTCATCATCTGACAGGAAACACGGAATTGACGGCGATATGAGTACATGAAGGCTTACCTGCGTCCGAGACCGAGAATAAGGGAATCAGAAGAACAGGATGGAAAACAACGACATCTTGAACTTTGGTATGCGGACCTTTTAAGATTCGTGTTGTGGGGCGAAAATTAACGTTGCGATAGTTCTTCCGTTCCGACATGAATCTGGGCCTTCAAATGGATGGATTGTCACTCAAAAATTGAGATGCTAACGCTGGGAGCTCAGCAGGATCCAGCAGGATCCAGACCAAGCATAGAAGCAGGAGGCAAGGCCCAGGAACATCAATCATGAGAACTTCAGCGCGTTTTCTCATGTGACAGTTGTCGGAAAACTTTGGCCGGCCATATAAGGGTAGCGGCCATATTTGGCCTTTTTTTTCCCTATTTATGGGGGATTATCCGACTAATTTGGGCCTTTTATGCCCCATATATGGGGCCTTATAAGCGAATTTCGGAATTTATGGCCTTATCTGGATAAAGTTCTGCAAAAAAGGCCTTATTAGGTCATCGGGCAGTTTTGCGACAGTGGACATGCGCACATTATCTCCGCATCTTATCTTATCACCATGATCAGTCAACTTCCGGACGTTGAACTCGAATCAAGTTGAACGACTGAACGACCGCCCGTCACGATTCTCTATATAAAGCGACTAGAACAAGATTAGGAGTATTAGGAGTATTCGCTCGTATTATAGACGAAATTTCGGATATTCCGCTCCCTCAGTCACATTGCGCGCACTTTTCTCTATGGATGTCTCGCTCTCGGAGGATGGTCCTGGACAGCCGTTTCAGGAAGTTTCAACATGGTATCAGTATCAAAAGGCATGTGTACGCGGTACAACTCTCTCTACACTTTCCTTGGTCAAAACATCTCGATGTAAACCTTTTATATACGAAAAACAAACACCAAGACAGCCCCACCTTCCAGTTCTTAATTTCGGAATTCCTGAAGATTGGAACCACATCGACTTTGTATAACACTAATTCTTGATCTTCGACCTCTCTTTGACTCTGAGTCAGATGCGGAGCAGAGATTAGTGAGGCAGACTCCTCATTAATTTGATCGGTCGGGTCCCCGCTCGCCTTGAACACATCGCGAGTTTCTCGTTTCGAACATTTGAATGTCTACAAATGAACATCCACTTCTTTATGTATAGCCAAAACTGATCTTCCCAGACTCATTTGACGTTCCCGTTCATCTCCCAACCCGTTACATAGGACTCGCATGCCAGACGGCTAATTCGTACATCTGCGAGAGGACGGTGTTCGACTGAAGTGTACAAAGGCTAAGCAACAGTTTGATTTCTGAAGCCCAAGCTTTCTGGGAGGCATCATGTTTGATTAGTAGGGCCCGCCTCTTTCTTGGTCTGCTATACGGCATCAACATCTTATAGACGAACTCGGAAGGAGGTTACCTGTCTCGGTGTGGACCTGTATGCATACGAACATCGTCCCCGAGAATCTTCCCGACAAAGGATCTCCGAGGATCTGCTTAAACATCGCAATCAAGGCGAGAATGCTCCTGGACAGCTCAACTTGGCTTGGCTAGTAGATTGAACATGTAGTTGACATCCCCCTTACTCTCAATATGCTACAAATACCCGGCAGGCACATTATCTACAATACGCCGTACATGGTCCTCAATTGACATGGAGAACTGAAGGTCCATATAGTCTACTTTTTCTCGTTTGATCCAAATCAATAATCCTATACCGGAAGATGCGATTGGCGAAGGGAGACGGGAGACCTGCGGTAAGCCGTCTTCCTCAGGTGAGAGAGGGACGAGAATGTTAGTCCAGTCGTTGTCGAATTGCCAAAGCCGAGTTTTGCCATTTCCTTCTATGACGCATATCCTGCATCGTCCGATAGGGGTACACCCAACGGTATCCTCCCACCGAGTCTTAAAAACGGGAACCGAACTTCCTGATCAGAATTGGGCGGAAACCTTTGCTCTAGCACTCGTTCATATTCTTTCATGAACGTGTCATTGTCAGGCGAGGGCTGTCTTTTACCCATCTCGTTGTAGAACGCGTCCCATGCCCCGCTCTTCTTAAATTTTTTTCCACGTCTTGCCTCACTGCCGTACGGAGAAGCGGAACGGGAAAAGGCGAGGAACCTCTGAAGTACCGGTAGCAGCGGGGGATAGACAATCTTTGGAGGCACTGTGCATGTTAAGATCAGAGTCAGGAATAGGACATGGACCTTACTTACCTCCATCTCGTCATAGACCTCGTCGTAGAGACCTCGTTCAAAAAATCCGCGTTCCAAATCGGTCAAACCACTTTACCGGCTAACGAGGAGATGTTATATCTCTGCAACCGAGCCACCTACCATATCCACTTTGTATATCAAATCCGACCGACGACTACCAATTTTCTCGCCGAGACGTAGTATTAATTCGAAGTTCCCTTGAGGAGCAAGAAGGGAGACTCGGAGAGACGGCGATCTGGTGGTGTCAGCAGGTCAAAGTCGTACATGACGCATGGAACGAAGGAGAATGGACGAACGCCAATTTGTTCAAGGGTGATTTGGTGGTCGGGATGCATGTCGTAGAGGATTATTTGAGATACAGAACTCAAAAGCTGGCAATGGGGTAAGAACCAATGGATTGACAAAGTCTGTTGAAAGACCTACCTGATAATCGTCCCTGATGGAGAGGAAGAAAGCAAGACTGTTAGATCCGAAACGAAGTGCGGGTACTTTACACGAGGCTATTTGGGTCAGTAAGTTATCGGGGCCTCAATGTAGGTGCTCAAATGCATATTGAGTTCAGCCTTGAGCGACATATCATTCTATCATACCGATTAGAGCTGGTCGATTTTATCGAAAATCTCCTGAGGAAGGCTCGTGAAAGAGGACAAGAGACTCGGCATTTTTAAGCCCGGAGAGTCAGAGGAGGTTGGCAGGAAAGAGTGTGCTCAATGAAGATCGTTGCT